CGAGTACTCGAAAGCACTTTCATCGTACGAAAGATCACTTGAAATCCTCAAAATAGCTCTCCCTCCGAATCATCCCTTATTGGCTACTTCCTACAACAATATCGCTTCAGTGTATTCTCACATGGGCGAGTACTCGAAAGCACTTTCATCGTACGAAAGATCATTTGAAATCCGAAAACTAGTTCTCCCTCCGAATCATTGCGATTTGGCTACTTCCTACAATAATATCGCTATAGTGTATTCTCACATGGGCGAGTACTCGAAAGCACTTTCATCGCACGAAAGATCACTTAAAATCCGAAAAATAGTTCTTCCTCCGAATCATCCTGATTTGGCTACTTCCTACAACAACATCGCTTCAGTGTATAATAACATGGGCGAGTACTCGAAAGCACTTTCATCATACGAAAGATCACTTGAAATCCGAAAAATAGCTTTCCCTCCGAATCATCCCTTATTGGCTACTTCCTACAACAACATTGCTTCAGTGTATGATAACATGGGCGAGTACTCGAAAGCACTTTCATCGTACGAAAGATCACTTGAAATTCGAAAAATAGCTCTCCCTCCGAATCATCCCTTATTGGCTACTTCCTACAACAGCATCGCTTCAATGTATGATAACATGGGCGAGTACTCGAAAGCACTTTCATCGTACGAAAGATCGCTTGATATTTTGAGAAAGTCGGTGCCTTCTACTCATCCTCATTTGGCAGTTGTGAAAAGAAACATTGAAAATTTAAGAAACAGATTTTAGTAGTTTATCTTTTATTCGGGAAAAATAAAATTCTTGAAATGTTAGTTTTGATGAGGAGCCTCATCGCTTTCTTGCTTGAGATGGAAATGTTGAATCGGAGTTGCGGTGTTTGTAAGAGCGATGCTATAAATTCCAGTTGTATTTAGCAATTCGGAAGTTGCTATTGTGATGGGGCGCGTGCGAGTGTGAGTAGGGATATGGCCGCTGGTGGAAGGTGGGATCTCGGTGCATCTGTGGCAGTCAGCTTACCAACACTGGGAGCAAGATACACAGTACCCACTGGATCCGCATGCACATCGGAGCAACAGATTTGCACCCGCAGCCACATTCACATGCTTATCGTTATCTTATGAATTTTTCAATTGAAGAGACTTCTTTTTATTTACTTATGTTAAATCAATATCTTTCAGATTCTGCAAACAATTTCCGAAAAAATATTAAAATAGATGATCTGTTGATGGTTGTATAAACATTTTATGGAGCTACATTTGATAATCTAACGGAATCTGAGTTATTTAAAGCATACCGAAAGATTTTATGTTAAATCTGCCACCTCTTAGTCTTCATTTTAAATATGATAGAAAGAGAGAGTTTGAAGTTCTACATCTTTTGGTGAATTCAGTTTTCTTTTTTCTTGGACAGAAAAAAAAGTTTTTCGAAGATTACTTTATTTTGAGGTCTATAGGTTTTTTTTGTAGGTATTCAGTGTTTTGGATGATAATCGTAATGTCTATAGTTTTTGTTGTGTTTTAATGTGGACGTCAAAATGAATAACATAGATCGACGCAGTTTTTCACGTTCTACAAAATGATGCTAGGACAAATTGTCGCACACACAATTCGTTGAACGACAGTCCATTACAATGACATAAATCAATCAAAATTAGTAATTATCTATTTTTCAACAATCAAGCAACTTATTCATTTAAGTTTGACAAATGTAATTCGATGAACATAGATATTATTAGAAATATAACTAATAACTAAACTTCGATTTTTGATCTGGTACAGTATAAGAGCCTTCTTCTGCCGATAAGAAGTTAGCTGATTCGAGCTATACAAGTGATGAGAGTTTTCCTATAGTAGTGGAAGTAGAAATGCACATTTTCTAAAATTTATGCTGCAGTTCGAGATTTCTGATAATGAGTAAATACCTTGGAAAGACTAACAAAATTTAGCGTTCTATAAAGAAGAGCAACATTGAAGTCATCACAAATTTTTAATGAATTTCTGTTTTCAAATCTTCGGGTTTGACGTACAAATTCTATTATTTTAGGGACCATTGCGTGTTATTGTATACATATAAACAATAGTTAGCAAAAAAAATGTGGAACAGTCTTACTACATAAACATGTAATACTTGCTAAGCTCTGTCGAGTCTTTGTTTTGCAATTATTGCAGGTCTATACTAAGCAGATTAGCCACAAATAATATCTGTATATATATGATTCGATTCTAATTTATTTTAGTATGATACTAATCTGAGATAACAATGGCACATAGTCTCGCAGCGAATGATACGTCTACATTATATTATTAGAACGTGAGAACTTGCTTTGTTAGAAAACTCCATCGATCAATGAAGATACTGTTATATAGAATTAGCTCCTGAGCTGAAAGACTTAGATCCTAAAGGCTTCTAAAATACCGAGCAGTAAATAATCAGAAACAAATTATGCATCCCGAATAATGCCTAAAACCAGATCCATGCTTTTGACGAAATAATTAAGTGATACTTAGAGAATCGCTCGATTAATGGTGTGAAAGATTTAGTTTTATTATTTTCAATAGCATAATTTCACACTAATTGCATTGTTTCAATTATTAATGTTGAAAAAGTTGTAATCCATTTTATTGATAGCCTAAAACTCAGATATCCTGCAGTTCTAGAATTAAAAGGAAGAGGAATAAGATCCCGAATCAGATGTTCTAAAACTGTCAACTGATATTCTTATAACAGAGAAATATTTTTCTTGAAAGAAGTTGAACTATATAGTTCCTGATACAAGCTAAACATTTGTTCCAAGATTTTTGCAAATCATTGTATATATATATGTATGAAACTGGTCGAATTGAGTTATTGATTCATAGAATGTCAAGAAGAATTCTGATGATACATTGTAATCGAAGGTTTTTGACATCCTATTAATATTAATTATGGAGGAGACAAATTCGACTTTTTTTCTTGCTAGGATTTTTTGTAGTCGACATGCCGAAATCAAAAAATCAAAGTTTAGTCATTAGTTGTATTTCTCATAATTCTTATGGACATTGAATTACATGAGTCAAACTTAACCGAATGAGTTATCTGACCATTGAAATATAGATATTAATTTTGATTGGCTCATGTGATTGCAAAGAATTATTCGTGCCACGAATGGTCCTGTGACGAATTGGGTGTGAGTGTGGATATAGATGGCAAACAGAACTACACTCATAGATAATTGATTCGAAAATTTATTATTTTTCGCATGCTGATGCTACACCACCGAGGTCCAAGATGTACGCCAGGAAATCGCTTGATCAGGTGAATTTTCAGCGATTTCAGGGTGGCAGTATTCACAAATCGGTTCTGGCCTCCGTTTCCTGCTTAATTCCCGTCAGTTCTGGAGTCCGAAAGCGATGGTCGGATATGGATGCCTGTTTCCAGTACGGTTCCAGCGACTTATGACGGCGACAGGATGCGGGCCGTATACTGTCGTTTCCGGTCTGGCTATGAAGCCCAGATCCGGCTGTTTGAAATTCGGCTATAAAGTTCGGATCCGATCACAGGACATGACAAGATAGGAGTCGGATCCTGCTGGCTCCAATTGAATGGGTTCAACTTGTAAGTAACGCCCACGTCCACCCCCACACCTTACTCATGGGTTATCCTATGGACGTACCCAGAAGTCCTCATGGGTTATGCTATAGAGGTACCATAATTCCTCAAGGGCTATTATATGAAGGTACCCATAGATCCGCAAAGACTATTATATGGAGGTACCCATAGATTTCCATGGGCTATTATATGGAGATGGGTGTGGGTATAGGTGCTTGTGGGATTTCACAATCCACACGCGCACCCACACCCACATCCACACCTCACATCTATCCACATTCACACTCACACCTAGTCAAACTCAAACCCTAGGTTTGACTGGGTTTTATTGGATTTGGGTTTGATGTGTATCATGTAGAGATTAGATTTTCGGGGATATTTGTAAAGCAAGCGAACACTCCCAACTCGAGAGCTGATATTATCAGTAGAGAGAGCTCGCTGGATTGACTCAACGAACGCCCAAAACGGTTGAACAATAAAAAAAATTTCCAATGTACGCTGATTTTTTTTAATCAACGAACACCCGTATCATTTGACAGTGAGTAACCCTACTCGAATTAGGTACATACTCAAAATTTCAGCCTTTTATGTGCTCGTATAAAAAAATAGCAGGGATCGACCTTTTCAATTTTAAGCCTCATACTTTAATTTCGCTTATACATTCCGAATTCGATTACTAGGCTTAAAATTGAAAAGGTCGATCCCTGCTATTTTCTTTATGCAAGCACATAAAAGGCCGAAATTTTGGGTATATACCTAACTCGAGTAGAGCTACTCACTGTCAAATGACATGGATATTCGTGGAGCCAACTTGGCGACCTCTATCTACTGATAAAATCAGCTCTCGATTTAAGGGTGTTCGTGAGTGTTGTTCGCTTGTTTTACAAACATTCACGAAAATCTAATCTTTATGTGATATACATCAAACTCAAACCCAGCCATACCTTAGTGAAACCTTGTGAAACCGTATCAAACCCAAACTCAAACATAGTCAAACCCAATAAAACTCAGTCAAACCCAGAGTTTGGGTTTGACTTGGTTTGAGTTTGATGCACCTCTACGCTCATTCACATCCACACCCACACCCTTCACATCGACGAACCTCTCGGAAATAGATTTCTTTTGGTTATTCGGATATTTTGCTGTCATTATTAAAACTGAAATGAGATTTGTGCGAGATGTGGAATGTTTCTGCGTATGAAGAAGGCAAAAAGGTGTAAATAAGACTATAGCGAACACTGTTCTCTTCAGATTCTCTGTTATCAACGACATATACACTATGCAACTGATAAAAAAGGGAGATAAAGATGAGTAACAACATCTTTTCAAACATTATCTAGCTAGTATTCTTTTCTTCTTTGTTATTTCAGATAAACAAAGACAACTGATAAGTAACGCATTGAGGGTGTGAGTATGAGTATCGATATGGGTGTGGGTGTTTTAGTCATGCTACACCCACATCCACCCACATCCACCCTAAACCACTACTAGAATTAATCATTCAAAACGTCAATAATCAAGTTCATATATCATCTCTCTCGAGTGTGGGTGGATGGTGTGGGTGTGAGTGTGAGTGTATATGGGGTGAGGATGGGTAGTGTGAATGTGGGTGAAGGTGCTTGTGAAACTTCAGTCCATACGCGCACCGACACCTACACTCATACCCAAACCCACACCCACCCTATTTATCTCTTCTTAAACAAATGCGTGCTGTCGAAGGATGTGGGTGTGGAAGAAATCAATATTCTCACACACCCACGTACACTCTCTCTCAGCTTTGACATGAAACAAACAGTATCCTATGCTCATCGGAAGTATGCGAGTAGTTGTTGAAAGACAATATGATTCGTTCCTATCCGAATATCAGATCAAAACATTGTTGGAAGATGATACTTTGATACAAACTCTAGTGAAATCTAGTCGAGAAAATGTACTCTATGAATTGTTTATATTCAAAGAAGAATTTGATGACAATGAACAAACTCTAGTAAGTTTTTGTTTGAGTTATTTATTCAATCTGATTGAATCTTCAAATAAGAACATTTCTCGGAAATTGAATAAACTATGAAGAAGTTTTTTTTTGTTATTCATTTCATCTCAGCCATTTGATCTCAATATTCCCAAGATTTGTCTTTGTTGGGATATTGTGTTTTTAAATTACTGAAATATCGGACATTAAACGATACAATCAATCTATTTTCCACTAATATTCTTCCTACACTACATCAATGTGAAAGAAAAGTAGAGATTTGTCAATCTTCTGATGCATTTATTAAGATGATTCTTCGAAAATTCAATGGTGAACAAATTGTTTCGTTACGTCTGAATACGACATCGTACACAAAACAATCAGTATTATACTATTAAAACTTTTTAACTTTCAAAAATTAGACTTAATCAACAATTTTAAAACATGTTTTCCTAAATTAATGTGTCTTTCCCGTTGGTATGACAATGAATATTGTCATGAAACGAAGGAGTTCAATCGAACGACCTGAAGTTCATTGTCTCACATTGGATTGTTCTCATTCAGAAGCATATACAGATCATATATTATTCTGCATGAAACTTTCATTTAACTATTTTCTTCTTGATATAGGCAGCTGTTCGTTCTCTTCAATTAGGAGTTGCTTGCGGCATTACCAGTTATGTCCTTTAATGATAACAGTTGATTTTATCAAACAAATGCATCTTATCCGACAAGTTCGATTCATGATTAATCAATACAACGTGGATAAATTATTAGATTTTAAATGAATGGAAAAAGTTGGCATATACATGTGTTATTTTAAAGGACAATAACTTTGAATGTACTAGAGTGTACGGAACAAGACGAAGATTTAGCGAAAAAAGCAGTAGAAATTCAAGATGCACTATATCTGAAAATTGAAAAGCGTAAAACTGAGAGTGTAGGTATTCGTTTTATCTAAATCCACACTAACATCCAACACGAAAACGACTTGCCCATCAAAGAGTCTTCAGTTAATTAATTGAAAAAGTAGGGTGTTATTCAGTCTTATGACATATTGAGAAAACAAGCATGTATTTTATTACTATGTAACCTTTAAAATAAATTTTAGACTAAAAGCTGAATTTTGACGAAGAAAAAATATTCTCTGTAAAAAATAGATGTTGATTCTTTTTAAATCAAAAAACCATTTTATTCAAAATAGAAAGTCAGGAATACAACTATTCTAAATATTCGTTATTTAATAGAAGTCCGCAAGTCAAAATTTGAATGGAATCATTCTGATTTACCTATTTTTGTACGACAATGATCTGTATCATGTAAACCTATGAATTCACATTTTTCACATAAATTAATTCCACAAGTACATTTATAACGAATACCAATAAGCAGTTTCATAAAACATGAATTACATTGATTATTCTTATGATTGGTTTTATTACGATTGTTTAAGTAAACTGACTTTGGATATTCACTGGAATCTTTAATACGTAATAATGGATGATTCGAAATATGATTTGTTCTACTAATAGATTTACATGATTGACAAAAATCAATATCGGGATAAAATAAACATTTGTAACGATCTCCTTTTATTGGTGACATATCACATCCATCACACGTCATATGTAAATGAATATTCGTATTCAAATTTTGATTATTCGTTACTGTATTGTTTGAAATTTGTTGAATATCATCATTGAAATTCACTTTGCATACATCGATCATTTCCTGATTACTACTCAATCGTAATGTAACAATTTCTTTTTGTTGATTTGAGTGTCCATAATATTTATAAATATGTATCATGATTGTTGCTGCACCCGTTAGACTTTGTTGATGATTAGCAAAATATTTTGCTCGAACTATATATGTATCTTTGACTGCCTTTCGAACAAGATATTCTTCTGGTCCATACCCTTGTGTAAAATCACGACTTATCATACCACTAATAACTGTATTTTTATGAGAATAATAACATTCTTCACCTGTCGGTTCGATAACATGTAAATCAACATCTGTATCATTTGTATCCCAAACCATAACAATTCTTAAGTCAACAGGTAAATGAAGAATAAGACGATTATCAATCGAATTCAATATTTGTTGTTGTTGATGAAATTGAAATATGAAACAATTCAATTCATGCAATGTGGTAACTTCAATTTCTGAATAACGATTATTCCATTCACCAAATATAACTTTCTTAAATAGATCTGATATTTCTATAAGGTTCTTTGTTTCAGAATTAGATTCTTGTAATAATAGTGCTAGATCTCGAAATGATTGTGGCTCGTCTGATCTCAAATTTATAATATATCGAAAAATATTCTCAGCTAAATTATAAAGACCAAATTCAATAAGTTTATAAGCAACAGTTCGTAATAATTGTACTGATTCCAATTCTAATTCTAAAACATTTGTAAGAATACGTAAACCAATATATTGATACTCATTTAAAATATTATAATTTGACTGTGCATAATATTGATTAAATGCATCAACTGATGATTGTTTTGAATTTGAAGAACGAGCTTGTAAGAAAAAATATGATGCTATATCAAAATAAAATGATGGTGATTTAGAATACGACTGACGTTCATTTAAATAAATTTAATAAGCTGTTTTTAAACTAGTACTTGATTTAATTTTGTTCATGTACGGTATTTGTGGATCCCAGTTTTGAAGAGTAATCGTTTGAGTATTACTACCCCTATTAGTGGTAGCAAGTCTATCCTTGAATGAATGTCTTCTTGAATATGATGATCGATCGTGAAAGGAACGACTTTGGCTAGTCGAGTTTTCTTCCTCCTCCTTCTCCTCATCATCATCACTAGCGTAATCGATATCCGTCTCAAATCTATCCCTGGACGAGGTTGATGCCATGTCTGCTGATCTGTCCTCCATTGTATCTTCTATGGACTCACATGAATCATCATCTATTGCATAGTCACGGTTGACTATCGTAGAACGTCGTGATCGGGACTGACTTCGTGTCATTCTACAGTATTCTCTATTATGTTGGTTAGAGTCTTTGTTTTGGAATGTATTTCTACGATCTTTTTCAGTTATTATTTTATCATACCATCTGCAACGTGTTTGTCATAAATTCAAGACAGCTGTTAGTTTTGATTAAGTTTTAGTTAATTCTTCTGGTTTTTTATTATTTTGATAAGTCATATAATCGTTATATAATTTGGGTGTGGGTGTGGATAGGGGTGTACGAGTGAGGGTGTTAATGAAGAGACAACCCACACCTACACCCACACCCCGCCCTTAACGTGGATTAATACCAAGGTCATCAGACGGAAAAACGTTATCGGCAGAACGAAAAAAGAAAAGAAAAGGAACTGACACCATAAATCTGGATTTCTCTTCGTTTATTTACAAAATTTATAGAGGCTGATAACATACAAAAGAGAAAAGTAGACAGTACTACAACTTCACAAAACTGAATAGGTTCTATGTGGAAATCGATTGTTTGCTATAAATAGCTGGTCTCTTCCTTGGTTTATTCAATAAAATAAAATTATTTTTTTTCTCTCTGTTTAGCTTATGTTTTTATTCTAATTACAGGTATTAACAAATGATTGTTTCGTTTTTTGTTTTAGTCATGTCTCGTCTCGACTTACTTTTCAATGAACCATCATCCTCCGATTATCGATGTAATTATCAGTTATCTCATAATTTGGTTGTCAAGATTAATAATATTTTCAACGACGTGGATTATCAAGTATTTTCCGATACTAGCTTGAACCATCAGCAGCTGATGTCCCTCCTTAATAATCGCAATTCAATTGAAAGCCAATTTATTGACTTCATCAAAAATTATATTAATAATATGACACCAGATGATAATATTTGTCATGTATACTTGAAAAATGTCGATCGATTTAGTCGTGACTTGCTGATTGTCAATAATGATACACATGTTAATTATTATAATTTTTTTCGATGATGATAGTGACGATGAAACATTTGTGGACGATTATAGAGATGATTCTAATGCATCTCTTGATAATACCAATGATGATTTAGAAAATATTTTAATAGATCAATTTGACTTTGAACGTTTTGTAAATGCTTATCGTTGTACTACACATGATTAGGATGAACATAATATGAATCATAAAGATGACCGCCGTTGTATTCAATGTCATCCTGATCCTAATGTTGATAATCATAATTGATTCAGTGGTTTTTTTTGTTTCTATTTGAAATAATAATAAATTTGAACTGCAATTGTACGAATTTTTTCACATTTTGTTCATGATCCTACTTTCACAACATCATGGAAAAGTTTCTCATACCTTTCTTTCTAAAACTTGCTGGAAACTTTCCCATACATCTGAACATTCAGAATTCTACGACAGAAATACATTTCTATACAGGAAGTTGTCGACATCCAAGAGTCGTGAGAGTACTACAGGAAAAAAATTTCAATTATTGATATCCGATTTTAATTTGTGTATTTTCGTTAATTTAGGGTTGCATTGTTCAGGCTTCATTTCTTACTCTACTTGCAATTTTAAGTTTTCGATTTTTGCCGCCTCGCTTGTTAACACTATATGGCTTTTTTTCTACTTCAATCTCTGAAATTAAAACTTTGGTAAATTCATGCTTTTGAGTTCTTGGCTCTGAGTTGTAGCTCTTTAGTTTAATGCCTTTTATTTCCAGGGTGTGGATGTAGGTGTGTAGGTGTGGAGTGTGGACGTAACTAAGGATGCAGTAACATGATATATCCACACTACACCCATACCCCAAAAAGCATTTACTTCAGCCATTTTTTCGTCTCACACCCTTGAATTTTGGAAAAATTATGTGCCCCATCAGTGCACCCCATTTAAAAAAAATTGTACCCCACATGTATCCCATTAGAGACCTTTTATATCCCATTCGACACCTTTGCAGTTGGCAGTCCTAACATAATGCCCTCCAAACAAAAACATTCTGTTCCGTAGCTAGTGCTTTTTCTAAATATTCAAGTGACTTCAGATAGTCTGTATTGAATCCATTGACAACTTTATCTATTAATGGCATATTCAGTATTGATTTGTTTTCATGACGTATTTCCAATAATGAATCCATTCTTTCTTTCTTTCGTATTATATACTTTTTGCCGCCAATATTATATATGCTATTTAACGTTGATTTCTTAATAATTTTATATATTTTCTCAATTACTACTTCTACTTGAATAGACTGTAGTTCGAAAGATTTTGGAACACAAGTTATTGGAAATTTCAATAATTTACTTGCGATATAATCGACAAAATCATGAAACTGAATGAGTCTCTTTATGCATATGGAATAGCGCTTGTTTTGATTCAACATTCATATTTTACTTGGTAAAAAGAATAGGATCTTATGGAATAATTAAAATACGACATCGAACATCATCTAATCCAATGGTTGCTACATCAATTGTTATCAAAGCTAGTATGACCATTAAAAAGTGTACCAATTCGAATAAGAGTTCGTATGAATGAACTTTTATCAGTACGTGTTTTTTCAGCAGGACGAATTTTTAACTAGATTCATTTATAAATGGCGCATGAAAAATTTTTCAAAAACAAAACGATCTTATCAACATTGTTTTAACGACGATATCAATACTTGATAGATATGAGTTCGGCTCGTGTTTTTTATGAACCGAACTAATCTCAGTGAAAAAGATTCAAAGTTTATCAGATCTTTGTTGTTATGCTTTCAACCCAAATTGTTTTGTTTGTACAAATTTAAAAGATAAGTTGTTTCTCATTCATCTAACTGTCATCTCATATTTTTGTTGCAGACTTTTATCGATTTGTGTAGGTTATGTTCGTCACATTGGATTGGCATATATAATATATTTAACATTGATGAAGAATTCTCTGCTCTAGATTTTTATGAAAACTCCATTGTATTTACTTCTTCTATTTCACTTTCTCGTGGTAGACTCAGAAAATCGAGAAAGTAGTCATGTGAAAATTTTCGTCTAATGGGTAAAGCAAACGTTTTACATTAATTTTCTTTTTATCACCATCATTTTTCGGAAAACTTTCGATTTGTTCAGAGCTATCAAGCTCGAGTTTTCACCATTGAAAAAATCGATCATCGAACCGTCTTCCTGCATAATACTCACTATGGTCGAAGGACATTTCCATCACTCTGTCAATAGTAATAGTTCTCCATTGTCTACTTTCTTACGTTGTCACAATGAAAACTTATAAAAGTAGACAATGAACAAATATTGATATTTAGAGAGTGATGGAAATTCAGATGTTGCTCTTTCCAATACTAAAAAATGAAGTTGAAATAATGATTCGTTGCGAAGTACTAACGAAAATAAAATGAATGCAAAATTTTTGCTAACCCGTTATGCCGCTTTCGTTTATTCGTTGACTTGCGAAAAATCTTCTCTGGACCTCATTTGTAGGCATGGAAAAATAGAATACACAATGTTCTGGAGGTGGAAAATTCCCTTAATCTGAAGTCCATTGTTTGGTGACATATAAGATTTTGCAGAATGAACATTATTCTACAAGATCCTATACTTGCAATTTTATTCCATCTAAGAATGGCTGAAAGCTGACCATAAACTTGTTTCAGCAA